ATACATGGCAATACATGGTAATACATGGTAATACATGGCAATACATGGCAATACATGGTAATACATGGCAATACATGGTAATACATGGCAATACATGGTAATACATAGAATTACATGGCAATACATGGCAAAACAAGGTAATACATGGCGATACATGGCAGCATATGGTAATACATGGCGATACATGGCAATACTTAAGCAATAGAAAACGTTTTCTGTCTCAGCATAGCCTGATATAAACACGAGAGGGGTTGGGAGACCTGTTCGAGACAGTTATGCAAACCCCAGACGAAGTCGAGGGTTTGCATAACTGTCGAGAATTCTCCCAATCCCTCGAGTGTTAATATCAAGCTATGCAAACACCGGAAAAAGTTTTCTATTGCTTTTATAAAGTAAATTTCCTGAGAAAAATCGTAAAACTCTTTGCTATGGCACTGATTAAAAGAGAAATTCTTACCAGTCGCAAAGTTTTGTACACGAAGTCTTGCACGCGGAATCAGTTCTTGTTTTGCAAAAAGATACTTTCCAAGATACGGATTTTCTCGCTTAAAATGTCAGCTTAAGCGAAAAAAAAGTTGACACAGCTTGTTTATAAAGACTTTCCAAGTTTCAGCTGACATAGGAATGGGTAAATAAAGTAAACTTGTCGAGTTTTGATCGCTAAAACTCTTTCAAATTCGTGCTTCCGAGATTAGCGCGCGAAAAGCAGAACATCTCACGTCAAAACCATGTTTACATACTCTCATGCAAACACTCCTCTCAGCCAATCAGAGCGCGCATACTATCTTAGTTATTTTATAGATGGTAGTACAGGGCGAAACATGGTAGCACATGGCAGAACATGGTAATACATGGCGATACATGGCAGCACATGGTAATACATGGCGACATGGCAGCACATGGTAATACAGGTGATAATAGGAAATACATAGAGGATATTACACGGTGGCGAGAAGATATGAATTTTATGTTCGAGTGGCAAGAACAATATCTCATATATTGTTCTTGCCACGAGAACACAAAATTCATATCTTCGAGCCAACGTGTAATGTTCCTTTTATTATATGGAGAAACCAATTCAACAAAAGCAAAAGGCGGGAATCGTGACGTCATTGAACGATACGACACTCACAAAGGTGACATACGGAAAATACGTATTTAGTTCCATTTTTTATGAAGTCAATTTTGGCGGCTTTTACGTGTTCTTTGTTGGTATAAAATGATAACGGAAATTATACTAAAAAACTTCAATTCAAGACTGTTTGTAAATAAGCATGGGAAGGAATAAGAAAAAAACAAAGAAACAAATTCAATCAAACTTGTGTGTTTATTTGGTATGTCTAGTAATTCAGTTTTTTTAACTTGAATGTAAATGATCGTTTTTTTTTTTTTTTGATGAAAATGGTGAAACATTTGTGTTTCTTTAGATTCATTTCTTAGGGAAGTCTAAAAAGGGATTTATTTTTTTCAAATTATAAATTACGCATGCGAGATACCCTTTGAATATCGTAGTTTAACCGAAATTCTTGTTATACATAATTCTTCTATTTGGTAGAATAGGTTAAAGCAATTTTGTACCTTTTTCATTAAATTTTAATATACGTTTTGCTATTTTTCAAATATCTCTTATTTTCCTTTTCTTGCTGGTATTCAAGAGCCAGTCAATAGATAAAAATCGGTAGCAATCAAGTGATTTTTATCGATTGATAACTGGAATCGGTGAAAATCGATAAAATAAATTGCTGTGTCAAATCGATATTGACGATTTTTCATGATTTTCTCGATTGATAACGTAAGTCCAACATGGTTGTTTCTTGGCTTAAGTTAGATAGTACAGCTAAGAAAACATATCCATGAGTAACTACTGATAAACAAATAGAAAATGAGAAATGTGGAAACTATTACACACACAAAATCTTCTCTAAAACCCTTCATTTCGAACGAAAACAGCTCGGGTTAATTACATTCAGTTCTCGCATTTCAGATATCCCTTCCACTCGAAGGGATGTCGGAAATTCGGGCTAAAAGATTTTCCTTACATAGTTTTTCAACGTTTTCTGTTATCAGTCGATAAAAATGACGTTTGCATGAATTCAAAGGGAGAGAAAGAGTTTCTGGCAAATTGTTTACAATCAAAGATTTGTGAACTGGTAAATGTCTGGCAAACTCTTCAAAAGTTTATATACACACAATTATACACGAAACTCATCACTTCAACTGCACTTAACGAGCGTAACTTTCAAAACAGCTGCTCCACAAAATGTCACTGATAACGCGTAACGCAAAAGGTAAACGAAGTATGACCAAAGAATCTACCAATTTGCGGTCCCTTCGGGATTTTCCGTTTTACGTCATCCTAACCATCTCTTACTTACGGGCGCGAACAAAAGAAAACGTTAACCACCTATCCTTACGGCCCCTATCTATAAAAGAAATCGATATTTTTTTCTGGCATACTGACTAAAAATAACAACTGTAAGTACTTTCCGTAATAAACGGGCGAGCTAATAGAGTGCTTCCTCGGAATTTCGCCTTATGGGCGAAATCCCTGCTCTTCGGGAGCAATAAGTTCTTAATTGACTTTTAAAGAGGGTATTTTCTAAAGTGACGAATTGCACTTGAATATCTTTGTCTAACTAGTATCCGTTTACAATCCTGAAAGAACGTTGCGCTCATCAAAAAAATATATTTTCATTCGGAAAAAGAGCCCTTTCTTGGGCTACCTCTAAACTGTGTAACAGACAAAAAAAAATGCTTTTCAATTCACTGACTTTATTCCAACTTCAGGCATACATGGTCAATACATAGCTACAGATGGCAATACACAGCAATACAGGGTAATAAATAGCAATACATAGCAATACATGGCTATACACGCAATACATGTCAATACACGTAATACATGGTAGTACATGGCTATACATGGCAGTACATGGTAATATATGGCAGTAAATGGCTATACATGGCATTACATGGCTATACATGGTAATACATGGTAATGCATGGCTATACATGGTAATACATGGCAATACATGGTAATATATGGCAATACATGGCAATACATGGCTATGCATAGTAATACATGGCAATACATGGCAATACATGGCTATACATGGCTATACATGGCAATACATGGTAATACATGGTAATACATGGCAATACATGGCAATACATGGTAATACATGGCAATACATGGTAATACATGGCAATACATGGTAATACATAGAATTACATGGCAATACATGGCAAAACAAGGTAATACATGGCGATACATGGCAGCATATGGTAATACATGGCGATACATGGCAATACTTAAGCAATAGAAAACGTTTTCTGTCTCAGCATAGCCTGATATAAACACGAGAGGGGTTGGGAGACCTGTTCGAGACAGTTATGCAAACCCCAGACGAAGTCGAGGGTTTGCATAACTGTCGAGAATTCTCCCAATCCCTCGAGTGTTAATATCAAGCTATGCAAACACCGGAAAAAGTTTTCTATTGCTTTTATAAAGTAAATTTCCTGAGAAAAATCGTAAAACTCTTTGCTATGGCACTGATTAAAAGAGAAATTCTTACCAGTCGCAAAGTTTTGTACACGAAGTCTTGCACGCGGAATCAGTTCTTGTTTTGCAAAAAGATACTTTCCAAGATACGGATTTTCTCGCTTAAAATGTCAGCTTAAGCGAAAAAAAAGTTGACACAGCTTGTTTATAAAGACTTTCCAAGTTTCAGCTGACATAGGAATGGGTAAATAAAGTAAACTTGTCGAGTTTTGATCGCTAAAACTCTTTCAAATTCGTGCTTCCGAGATTAGCGCGCGAAAAGCAGAACATCTCACGTCAAAACCATGTTTACATACTCTCATGCAAACACTCCTCTCAGCCAATCAGAGCGCGCATACTATCTTAGTTATTTTATAGATGGTAGTACAGGGCGAAACATGGTAGCACATGGCAGAACATGGTAATACATGGCGATACATGGCAGCACATGGTAATACATGGCGACATGGCAGCACATGGTAATACAGGTGATAATAGGAAATACATAGAGGATATTACACGGTGGCGAGAAGATATGAATTTTATGTTCGAGTGGCAAGAACAATATCTCATATATTGTTCTTGCCACGAGAACACAAAATTCATATCTTCGAGCCAACGTGTAATGTTCTTTTTATTATATGGAGAAACCAATTCAACAAAAGCAAAAGGCGGGAATCGTGACGTCATTGAACGATACGACACTCACAAAGGTGACATACGGAAAATACGCCACTCGGGTCCCGGATGAAGTGGCGTATGGAATCTACGAGTGGTTTAGTTCCCAGTAAAACACTCTCCTCCATATAATAAATAGCAATACATGGCTATACATGGTAATACATGGCAATACATGGCATTACATGGCTATACATGGAAATACATGGCATTACATGGCTATACATGGCATTACATGGCGATACATGGTAATACATGGCAATACATGGCTATACATGCCATTACATGGCTATACATGGTAATACACGGCTATACATAGCAGACATGGTAATACATAGTAATACATGACAATACATGGCTATACATAGCCTGCGTAGCTGGCGGCATTGTGTAGTAGTCGAGCGAGATTTGGCGGCGGAGCCGTCAAGAGCGGCGAAGCTGCGAGAAATACCGCCTGCCAGAGAACCATGATTTTTCGAATGCCGCCCACTTTTGTCCCCCTAGCTGATCCCAATTAAATCAGCCAATCAAAGAGAAACCTGCAATTTGAAACTTCCGATTATTTTCGCGCGAGACAGTTTAGAAATAAGCGTTGACAGGCTAAACACCACTCCTAAGCTCGTGATAATGTGAAATGTGACCTTGTGAGTTTGCTTGAACAGAGGTTTTTCTTTTTCCCGGCTCTCGCGCGAAGGTTACCAGCACTACACAGTGCTAAACTTTGACTGAGTATTTTGCCACACTAGGCTTAACATTAAAAGGTCAGGAAGCTGGTTTGTTACATGCATACTGAGTAACCATTTCCTGTGGTTTATTCTTCTGTAGGTGTTCCTGATAGAATTTGATCTCAGATGCAGTTGTAAAGTGTTTTAATTTTCTTTGACCTTTGTTTCTTACGGCTAAATAAAGACAATTCCAGCGCTGTGAACTTTAAAGATGCCATTTCGGCAATTTGGTTATCAATTATGCTCTTTTTAAAGGGGAAACCACAATCTCTTACGTCTTTCAGTTTGCCATCTGCTCCCTTAATTGGGAAATATATGCCAAGGATCATCTAACATGATTGACATACGTATGGCCCTAGACCAATCCGTTTCTCCGCACACTGGTGTGCGGACTATTCAAAATACCGGGGTTTTCTGGCGGGCGGTATTTCAACCGCCTCGTCCCTATTCCCTTTTTTTGGAACACGGCTCCGCCGCCAAAACTTTAATCTCCCACCCACACAATACCGCCAGCTACGCAGGCTAGGCTATTCATGGCATTACATGGCTATACATGGCATTACATGGCTATACATGGCTTTACAAGGCAATACATGGACATACACCGCGATAAATGGGTATACATGGTAATACATAGTAATACATGGCAATACATGACTCTACATGGCATCACATGGCTATACATGGCAAAACATGGCTATACATGGCAATACATAGCTATACCTGGCATTACACAGCTATACATGGCTATACATGGCAATACATGGCTATACATAACAATACATGGCTATACATGGCAATACATGGCTATACATAACAATACATGGTTATACACGGCGATACATGGATATACACAGCTATACATGGCATTACATAGTAATACATGGCAATACATGGCTATACACGGCGATACATAGCTATACATGGCATTACATGGTAATACATGGCATTACATGGCTATACATGGCAATACACGGTAATACATGGCAATAAATGGCAGTACATGGTCATAAATGGCTATACATGGTAATACATAGTAATACATGGCATTACATGGCTATACATGGTAATACATGGCTATACATGGCAGTACATGGTAATACATGACAATGCATGCCTATACATGGCATTACATGGCTATACATTGCTATACATGGCAATACATTTCTCGATTACCACACTGATAAGATCGAATATCTGGAGAACCAAAGTAGAAGGAGGAATATTCGAATAGACGGCATTCGAGAGGAAGAAGCAGAAACCTGGGACAACACCGAAACCAAAGTCAAGGAGATACTCAAAGAGAAGCTTAACCTCGATGAAGAACCGGATATCGAGCGGGCTCATCGAGTCGGCAGAAGAGCAAATGCTACAACTGGCTCCGTAAGACGTCCAAGGACCATCGTTTGTCGCCTCCGCGATTGGAAGCAAAAAGAACAGATCATCAGAAGTGCAAGGAGAATCAAGCCCCCTGGAATTTTTGTTAATGAAGACCTGGCACAAGGAACCCATGACAAGAGGGAAGAGCAGCGTCCTAAGTCTGAAGAAGCGAGAAGAAACGGGAAAATAGCCTATTTCGTTTTAGACAGGCTGGTTATTAAAGACAGAATTGACCGTCCCAGTTAAGTAGCTGTGTAGTTTTGTGCTTTAGCTTTCTATAATATTTATAGTACGTATTTATATATTTATTACTTATTAGCCATGGCTTCGATTCCTGATCACACTTTACCTTTTAATGTTTTAGACGATTATAGTTTTAACCTTGCAATTTACGAACTTCAACATGGCCCGGTAGTTATGATCCTGTAAGACTTTCCAGCCTAAATTACGATCCTTTATTTTCAAGTCACAATCTTTCCCTAACTCGTTCTGACGATATAGATCCTGATGTTAATTTCTGCACAGACGACGTCCACTGTGCTTACTACATTGAAGACAAATTTAACGAAATGTTGAGAAATGATAATTTATGTGATGAAGATTTTTCGCTCCTACACCTAAATATTCGTAGTCTTCAACGTAATCTAAACGGCCTTTCTATTCTTTTGACATGCTTGAATATTAAGTTCTCTTTAATTGGCGTTCCTGAGACTTGGCTAAACGATTATAGTAGTAGGGCTTCAGCAAAGATAAGCCTTGCGATGGATTAGGTGGATTAGGTGCCTATGGATTAGGTGGATTAGGTGCCTAGTCAATGACGTCACCCATTGTTATAACCTACATACTAATTTGGATTAGGTTTACTAATGAGCGTCACTCTACTACAATAGGAACAATAGGCTTGCCTAGACTTGCTCGGGCTCTTTTAACCCTGTTTGGATAGTAAACAATCTATTATGTGTTCAACATAAAAGCGCGCTTTCCCTTCAGTATTTCATTCTCGCAATCGCGTTACTAAGGAAAAAGTCTTACTATCACCAATATTTTTTAAAACATTGCTCCAAACATGCAAGTCGAATCGAGCTGTAAACTTGTCTGACTATTACAGAACTGTTTTCTCCCATCTATCTCGAGGACATGAAAAACTATTGAAGTCTCAACGTTTCACGCACGGTTAATCAGTTAACTATGCGAGTTCGCAAGCCCAAAGTTGAATACAAATTAGCTCTACAGGAAAGACCCAAGGGAGAGAATCTTGACGTATTATTATAAAACAAATAACTTAACAAGGATTAATTAAAACACGCGTCTCATAATTGCTAGCAATAAAATCTGACACGAGATACCGTTTAAAACAAAAAGAGTCAAATACACAGCGATTTGAAAGAAATCTATTAAAACAGTCAAAGAAAGCAAGTCATGTTTTACTTACCCCTCTCCCTTTTCAATTTTATTTCCCTCCTTAATTTTTTCTTTTTCCCTTCTCCACAATTTTATCATTTTCCCTCCTCAATGTTTTTATTCCCTCCT